AGATATAGCTCCACAGTTGATCAGCGGGAAGTAAAGGGGTTTGCGGAAGCCAAATAAATGCGAATCACTGTCTAAATCCGTGGTACGGGTGAATGGTATGTAACGCTGACGCTGATGTTTTTGGAGGGAGTAGTAAGTGGCCACCGCCCCGATGCGCGGCTCCGTTATTGCTGCTCCTCCGTTAATCCTTATCTGGGATGGCGCATGAATTCGTATCCACTCACATAAAGAGGGGAATGCCCAAGGTTATTCAGCCACTACGTTGAATCATCCGAGTCAGTAGCAGTAGGGCTCACAAAATACTTCATAGTATGGAGTTCATACGGGAGAGGGGCGTGTATGAATTCGAAACTATCCGTGAATACAGAGGAAGTATGCAGATGCTGGAAGATAGATGGAGATAGATGGACATTTGGAAATGATCCTCCGCAAATCCTGTGATCATCCTTAAGGAAGCATAATTATAAGACTTATCAGAATCCTATTCATTGACTTTTTGGAACAAGCATCAGCATTCTGGGGGTTTCCCTCCAGGACCTAATGCTACTACAGTGAGCGCATGCTGGCATCAGGTTACGTTCGTCCTCAAGACGAGCGCATTGTAAGATAATCAACATTAATGTACTTTGTCGACTAGCTGCCGTACAGAACAAGCCTAATACCCAGACCATACTTTACTCCTGATGATGGGCATTTGATGCGGAGCGGACATTTTCTCATGTGAGAGTTCTGTGGGGGTCGAACGCCAAAAAACGATTTCTGACCCATGCGGCAGGTCACCGGAACTCTAGCCTCATTTAGGATCCAACTAAGCACGCCGTCTATAAAATTACCCACACTCGTCCAGGATCTGGCATGGCAATTGTTATGACTATCCGCCGCATGTTTATTTTACGGGCGGTTGGTTCATATTTTCATCACCGTGCGCGAAATTACGTAACATTAAAGTTGGGTATGGCCCTAGACACTGTTCCACAATGGCGGTGAATAGAACATCGATTGAACATAGGAATACTGAAGAGGATCAGACTGAAGTGCCACTGGAAGTAAAAACCACTGACTCGTTGGGGACCCCGAGTCTCGAATGAATATCAGACCAATAGAGCGAGAAACAAGACGCGCTGTGCAGGCAAATCGAAAAGAACATAACGTAGGGATTAAAGTAGTTACGTTTTAAGGTGATGTAGTCATCGCCAAGTGGGGGGACAGGTCACGTGGCGAGAGAATAGGAATATTTATCCCAGTCACCACTAGTAGGCCATACTCTGTCTGGGCAAGTAAACCCTGCTCAAATCCATACCAACACAACATCCGCGCACTTCTACCTATAACAGGCTGACGATGTTAATTTAGTGCTGCAATCAAGCTACAGTTCACCATTCGTTGGGGGGTCAGAACTCATCGTTTTCTCGTCCCTCGGTGGTCATCTAAGGAGAAAAAGACTTTTATGCTTCGCCGTCAAATCATAGACTAAAGAACCCCCGAACACTTTGATCCAATGTAATGTCGAGTGAAGAGAGCTGTACAAGGCAAATGGTTCTCTGGCATACGAAGCACCCATGGCAGTCAAGCCGATGTCCCACCGGCGCCACAAACGTTTGAGCTCATGAGACACAACCATGGCCTTCCCAATTCAGGAAGTGAATTCGCCCATGGCCCAGTCCACCGGGACCTATGCAGCTACCCATTCCTGTAACATCAATCGATCTGCCTGTGTTTGGGCCAACGCATTCTTGCAACAGCACTTTATGCTTTACAGGTGCAAAGTGTATACCATGCTGTGCAGCAGAAATCTTCAGTTTACTTAAAATGGTTCGTGCTTCTAACTGGTCTGACCCGAATATGGTAATACCTTCGGGGTATTCAGTGCCTATGAGCGAACCCCTCGAAGGTATTCCGATCTCTGATATCTTGCGGAGAGACGGTGAACAAGTCAGCGGTCAACAGAACATTGAGTCTAACTGGCCGTTTACCAGATAAAACTTCAAACCTTGGTTTTGTGTTTGTTGAAGGGTGTATCTTATTATAAGACAGAATGAAATTTACTCGAGAAGGGCGAACAGGAAGCGGTGAAAGAAAAGAAAAAACACACGGATCGTGCTTCATTTGCTTAGAAGAGGAGAGATAAATCAGGTTTGATTGTCTGTAAAGGTAGCCCATACGCCCGCTACGTACATGATTCAAAGAAGAAAGTCCAGTTTGCTCATTCAGTCGATTCATATGCAAGTCGGCTTATGTCTTCGACTGGTCGTTTGGTGCTGTCGAATTAGCTCTCACAAGCACAAATATTCAGCCGCAATTGAGCTCTTGTTGTCATCTTTGTAAGAAACTGACGTGTCTGTTTTTTCCCGGTTAAGGCATGAAACAGCTAGCTAATTCGTCAGCTTTAAGCTGAGAAGTTAATGACTCGCTGTGCATGCTGTCGAATTTGCTCACCACGTAGCTAATTAACACAGATATTAATGTGGGTAGTTTGGTGGAATTCAGAACTTTTCTCATCGACTTCAGAAATTTGACCGGTCACATACTATATGTGTTCATCCCGATATACGTTTCGCTGTGCGAATGACCGTTGGGAAAGGTGGCAATACGGGATGATGTTAGATAGTGTAACTTTGGACCCTTTTTGCGGTTAATAACATGGTCTCTGTACGATTTTTCGGTCAAAGTTTCTTCAAACTACAGGTGGAAACTCTCCAGAGGTGTAGCGATGGGGCATAGCATATGTTTGCAGACAACCTCAAGGGTGCCTGTCAGTAAACTCAGGGACTGGGCAGAATGTTTAAGTGAACAGCAAATAGTATAGTGTTTTGGCACCAAAGCACCGGTTTTCTCATCAGGATGTAGCACAATTAGTGCCACAACAACGGCTCCACGTTAAGTGGTCGCACACTGATTGCCTCTAATGATGACATTTCAGACAGGTCCACTATTCGTGTGAATTATACTTTCTCTGAAGTACCAATGGATTGTTCGTTGTATGAGGAGCTTTTGGAATTTTCGGGAAAGCTTTTTTTTCTTTTGTGTCTCCTAATGGAAGCCTGGTTTCCACAGGATAAAGACGACAGTTCTAAGCAGTATATTTGAATGGTTTTCTGAAGCGTTGAAAAACTAGCGTTGACAGAATAAATTACTACTCAACTATTCGTATTTTATTTAAATGAGAGTGCCTTCTTTGGAGCGATATAATGCTTGCAAATGAGACATCTTGATGTTTTGATCGATAGTGCACGGTTATGCTATGGAGTTAGATATGCCCTGTAGGATAAGTCATTTCAAGTGGTGGCTGACTTTTTTAAAATATCCCAAAGGATAATCTTTCAACAGTTACCATGAAGCGGAAGGTGCTTATAAGCTTCTCTCAGTGCACTATTGTATATATTTCATTGATGAATTAGTGAGATGACACAGGAGACACTCAGATCTGCCTAAAGTAGAATTATAAGATTGCAAGGCAGCTTCAAGAGTGTAGAGTGCGGTAACTGGCTAAAGTGCTTTTTAGGAACGACCTATACTGCAGTTAGGACGTCACGGTAGTGAGTAACAAAGGTCAACAGCTCCATTGTGCAGCTATCATCATCGGCATCTGGTGAACGAGTATTTTTTCCACATAGGCCACCGTACTGACTTTCGCTCACATGATCGGGATTTCCGCAGAGATCGTTAACTCTACTCGCCGTCTTCCACAACCATTTCACCTGAATATGGATGTAGAACTTAAGTCCTAAATTGCCTATGTAATGGTTGAAAATGTCTTACCTAAATGCCTCTGAACTTCAGAGGTTCTTAAAACAGCAGCGAAAATAGTGGCCACGTATCCCTCCCTAACGGCTGCTGCTGATTTTGTACACCAACTGCAGCATCTGACAGAGCATTGGTCACAGTATCCAACCCGCAGCCCAGCTTCACTTTTCGCCGGAACCCCGAACCTGCCCAGTAGGATACATGTGATTTTCATGACGGTAGGTATGAGAGGCCAGTATGGTGCATTTGGATAAGAAAATGAACCACAAGGTTTTAGGATAAATTAGGGTAGCCTCACTGTATTTTGGTAAACCAGATTATCCGTTTGGTGCAGCCAGCATCGTGACCTTCATTTAACCTCATTTAACACTCCAGAGCTTTTTCACATAGGCTTTGAATGATCGACCAAATGACAGCCGATCAGTTCTTGTAATAACGTCAGTTATATATTACTCAGCCGGACAAGCTTTTCATCTATTCGAGCTATCTTATCATTGGCGGACTTTTGAATAGTTGGGTAATTTGATCCACCCAATAACCGATCCTCAACGAACGGCAAATTGGTTGAAACTTCATCAGGCATCATGTGGTCGGATGAATAACGAACAGAATCCGGTGAAATTCCCAGCCTATGATTTGTAAATTGTCATGTCGCATCAGTCACATCGCTAAGGCGAAACCTCGTTCGGTTTTGTTATGTTACAATACAGGTGCATCCCACTGGTGTTGAGGCATTAGGGATACTATGCTTGCCCGGCTGTCAGGTATCCGTAGTTCAAACCATGGCATCTCCAAGGATATGGTGATCAGCTCTGAGAAGAAAGAAGCTCGAGTCCAGTGCCTCCATTATCTTTCGTGTGAACTCACCAGGATAACTGCATCAGGAGAAAACGGGGAATGTTCAGATGAGCGGCGTGATTCATCTGGTCCACCGTAATGACCGGTGATTTCTTAGCAAAATAAAATAGTCTGACTAGACTGTACAAGCCAGCAGCTGAGTTGATTAAGCTCTACCTCTATTTGTGAATATCAGAAATAGAAAGGTGACGACTCCAGCAGTTGAACTGACCCTTCTCTCAGCGATGCATGCGGGATTTTGTTACTCGTTAAACCTTACTCTATGATATTACTACAAATTCACCCCTTGGTGGTAGGCACAGTAAAATTTGACTTCTTAAGCCGCCGTTTTATGAACCTTAGAATTACAGATTTTTGACCTCCGTTGTTCTATGGTCCAATTCTGTTGATCTATGCAACCCACGTACCTGTCAGTTGAACCGAGCCTAGAATATTGCTGAGGATGATGAAAATCCAATTGGGTAGCTTTTCGGCTGAGTCGGTCTCCACTAGCTGAGAACGTTGTGCGAATGGCCGTGGTTGAGAGGAAGTAAACAGATACAGAGCGCATGAGAAAATGTCACATTTCAAGAATGCTGATGAAAAATGTGGAATGAAAAATGCCGTGTGTGTAGGGAGTTCTGAATACGACTGGAAAACGGCTTTGGAAAACAATGATGTGTGGGAATTCGCGCGCAAAATGGAAGGCATTCGTTATTCTGCAGACAGTTTTGTTAACCAGATGTGCTACTACATGTAATGGACTTTTTGAAGTGGAAACGTATGCCAGGCAGAGAAAATGTTAGTGGTAAATGTCAGAAACGTTATACTGTTTTTTTATTTTCCTCATGCCAATGCAGCCCAGGGCACCCTAGAGGCTGACTCGCTACTCGCTGGTAACGAGTGCAGTCTGCACAATTTGTGTTCAGTCCTTTCTATAAGGTGATGTAAGTCGTGAGATATTTTATCGAGTCACCGAACCGACGAGTCTGTCAAAGGAGCCAAGAGCTGTAAGAGAGAGTAAAAATAGACCCACACAGTGATCAGCAACACAGACAGTTTAGTTAGGACACAGTGTACTTTCAAGTGCAGTATGTATTTTGATCAGTAACCGTTTATTTCAGCCCGTGAATTTCTTTTGAAGTCGCACATTTTGTTGAATGTCAACGTTGCTGGTCAGCAGTGGCAAGCATTAGTTATCATGTCCATATTTAGGACGAGAGATGCTTGGACAACGAATGTCAGTTCTCAAGCTGATGTCAGTTCCATCCATGTTGGCAACCTCATTGCCCAGAACCCCCTTTCGTGCCAAATAATTCACGCTTCATATGAAGGGACCATTACAATTTACTTTCCTGATGATGTATACTGTCGGCTGCCTGCTGCGGATAAAGTCGTCAGCGAACCACCTCGCCTTGTACATAAATGTGGAGAGCCCATTCTTTCAGTTCTTACTGGAAAATTCAGTTCGGAGAACCCTCAGCGTACTTTTCTAGCTGTTCTTCACCCATCAAAACTCGGTGTTTACAGCATTTGTGCTGAGAAAATCTCTGTTGGTTGCACGGAGGGATTCCTTGATGCTTGGAAGATGGATTTATTGTTCGATGTTTCCTTTCCTTTGGCTGTGTTTAACATGTGTTGTGGTATATTGTGTGAGGAACAATCGTACGAGAGCATCTGTGTTCAGTCACTTGGTTCGGTTATTCATATATACAGTGGAACAACTTTGGTGACTTCAAAAAGGATACCAGACACATTGTTTCCTGGTCCACTGACTTATTCCAATTGTCACCGTTCCATTATTACCACAACTTCTTCCGGAGTCATTTCCTGTTATGAAGTCAGAGACATACTAGATCAAAGTGCGTCCTACTCCGAATACAAGCACAGCTTTCGGGAAGTCTCAAAAACAAATCCACCTTGTGATTTTGCGGTGGCAGTTGCCAGCTGGATTTTCCCTGTTGGTGAGCCGGTTTTTCAAATGGATGTGATTGAAACCAATTACAAACAATCAGATTGTGAAGCCTTTGTTGTCGCCGTCTGCAGAAGCAGCATTTTCCTATTATCGGGAGCCGGAAAACTGCTTGGCGTCAGACGTCTTCAAATGACGCCGAGTCTTCTATGTCCAATCGGATTATCCCATGTACATCGAAGAGAAACTGGAAATCACTCAGTCTTCCTGCAACCGAGATTTTGCGTTGCAACCGAGGAGCAATATTTGCTGGTTTTTCGGGTAAGCTGACGTTCAGTTTGGTTCGTCGTTGTTCAGATATGACTATCTAAGTGGAACCAGCGTATAGTAGCTGAGTATTGGTTGCAGGCTCACCTTGAATGCCAGGTGCATGGGTTTCAAATTCTTGTATGGTCAAGGGTATGTGCAGTAGATTAACGCCAATGAGAGCGGAGTCTGAGTTTGGTGCTTTTTCGCTTCTGTTTGGATAAGTCTGAATGTGTTCACTAGGACTGGCAACAATGACATTGCCGTGCCACTGTTTCCTTGCGAATTTCTCTAATAACTACCAGATTCTTCTTTAAGTTACCCCTGTCACGCAAACACGAATATGTTGATCACATTTTGGTACATTTCACCAGGGTATGTCATTAAAACCCACCTTATTTGACTGTGAAGCTGTCACTCTTTGTTGAAGTTTGTACACATGCCAGAACTCTGTTTACCGGTTTACTTGACAAAGTAAAATAAACAAACGATTGGCCAGTGACGATGCTTTGGTGAGGCGCGACTGGTGCATATGAGCCTAGATACTCACACCATGTGCGTTTAGTTAAATGACTCATTTAAGAAGGTTAGTTTCGTTCAGGTTTAGATGTTTGATACTGTCTATCCATCAGTCTACCGTGGCCCATCCAAAATCGCATTTACAAATCCGACGATCCAGATTGTCTGCACTGAATTGGGGCATTGGTGCCACCAGATGACATACCAGGAAGTAGATTACGCGTTACCAAATTCTTGTGCATCTTTCAACACAACACAACACGTTGTTCAGTAGGCGAATCTCCATAGTATCCATAGCAACCTTATTATCACTGGTGTGAGAAGATTCAGGGATGAGAAGCGGATGAGCATTGTACATGTATTTCATCTTTACTGGAGCTCGTTAGCAATGCGCATCTCGTGCAACTCAAGAGAGACTCAAACCAACTGAAACCAGGTCAGTAGTCTGGACAATTATTCGTTCGGGCCTCACTGCAATAACAACTGAAAATATATCTGTGTCTAACGTGAACCCGTGTTCTGCGTTAAGATAGCGCGTATGAAGACCCCGAATGGTCCAGTCTTTTCTTATCATGCTTTCTCAAGGACAATAAACGTTTTGCACTAACCTGAAAAATGTTCAAGGTAAATTTTCTCTTTTGCATTAGTAGCTGGAAGGACGAAATTTGGATTTGACAATTGGTACTCGAAGCAGCGTATTCGTCGAGTTCAGTCCACCAGGTGTGCATTGAGATCAAAATTTTTAAGTTTCTACATTTGAATCTCGAAAACTTTGCTGAGCCTATAGTAAACCTGACTGTCAAAAGTGCTTCAGCGCACTGTGAAAACCAGTGCAGGCAGATATTTCAGGTGTCGACCGTACTGTATGAAGTTGCGCAACTGAACTGGAGCTCAAGATTGCAAGACAGTACAAATAGAAGGGATAATTTGCACAATCAGATTGTGGCGAAAAATAAACCCCATTTTAGTCAGAATCTCATCACTTAACCCCTCCGACAGATTGGTCTCCAAGTTAGGAACAGGTGTAGCTTAACCACGAAACCATGTGCAAAATTTCCCGCACAACGTGCTTTCTTAAAACCGATCACTCGTAGTGAGGAACAAAACTGGTCTTTATGCGGGAGGGGGACTAAAATGTCTGTCAGTTCTATTCCAGCTTTTTTACGAATATTCTCAGCATTTTTACTCCCGTAATTATTCAGTTTACCAAAACTTTAGTAATAAAGGTCACTTCTACTCAGAAAATCGTGGGAAAACTTTCGATTTGGGAAATCTAAAAAACTAAGTGAATGTTCGCAACCTCTCGGTGGAAATGAGAATGCAGGGTTGCATCTTCTCCCAAGTTATGAAGAGTATATACTGTATGGATGGGATTTCAGTCTTTATTTGTCTATTCGACGCAGCTGAATTGGGAAAAAGTGTTTTATCGTAGTTGAACAGATTGGTGAGATATCTCACTGATATTTGGTTTTCCATTCGTACAACCCTATTTTCTGCTCTGCTGGTTGCATCGAACAGGGAACCACAGGTACATGAGGCATTAGTTTTATCATTCAACTAAGGGATCATTAGTCTTTGAATCCAAATCTGTCTTCATACTAATGGGCCTGTCTGAATATATATATATATATATATTTATATATCACCCATCCGTGGCAGTGAATTAGCACGCAGGTGCTATTATGTTAACTGGCACACGCACCGAACCGAAAACCATGGTAGAACTCAAGCAAATGAATGTTTCATGATCGCCAAACAAACACTAAACTTCACAGGATGGATTGTATGGCCACTAAAAGAACTTTGCCTAGGGAGCCGCACGTTTCGACCGGATTTTCAATGTTGTACCCTAAACCAGATCATTAGGAGATTAACCATTCTAAAGAGAATACCGTAGTGGTTTTTTCATGAACGGAAGGAATGCAAGGACACATCTTCACCCAACAAAATGGCTCTGAAAGCTCTGGTGTTTCAGTGCCGTTGGTCACAGACGCAAAGATTTTTCTAATCAGGCCGATGAAGTGCTCAAGTTTCTTTCTCTGTCGGTTAACTAGACTGCACGAGTCATGATTGGTACAGGTACATGTTGGACAGGGTTCGAACTTTTCAGTCAGCCATTCATTCATATGTATGTCAAGGTTATGGTTGCTAAATATACCAAACGGGAAATCAATCGATGTACATATAAAATCATTCACTAGTGCTAGCTGTTCCAGAGGGAATATGCTTTCCTGAAATGGCAAACAGTGGTTGAAGGAGGGGCTACAGGGACGGTTTTCAACATGAAGTTCGTCCCATTGAATTTGAAGCGCAGCACCATTACGATAGTCTTCGCTACAAGTAAAGGTTATGCTAGAGTGGATTACCTTATAAATAGGATGAGTCTGGTCCCTTGCTTCTTATTCATCTGAGTTTGAACCTTCTTTTGAAGAGATCGGTTGATTTTAACAGTTGTTTGCACATAACCGATCACATAACTGAGACACTTCAACTCCCAATACCAATAGAGTATGCTCTGACATATGTACGGTCGATATTTTGAGCTACCACTCACCTTCCATTTCATCGTTCCTTCCATCGTTCGTAATTGAGCATAATGTAGCAGCAAGAGCCTTCGCACAGCCCATAAGCAGTTTGTGACTGCTGATGATAACGCGATGGTGAATTAGAATAAGATACTAAACAATCGTACTTTGGTGGACACAAGAACGTGTTTTGCAATCGGAATGAGGCTCACCAAAGTGCTAATCAATGACTTTGAGTCACAGTTCGATTAATATGCCATTAAATATTTTGTTCCCATTCCTGTTTTCTTCCCTTTTTGCAGGGTCTACAATTGACATGGTTGGCTAAATTGCCATGGAATCCTGTCAGCATAACCATGCCCTCGACCGCATACATCGGTACCCGCGACGAATTGCCAGTTATTGGCAAAAACTCAGTACCCGGTCTTATTGCCTTATTGGGACCACAGGGTCAGCTTTCCCTCTCTTATCTAGGTACATCTCCTCCAAGAGAAATGGGGTTGACAGGAGTATGTGGCAATGAAAGTGAGATGAAAAGGACCTTTGTGACTGAAGACGTGGAAAAACAAGAAGAGTTGCTTAATTCCGAGTTGGAGGCATTAAAAAGAAGAATACAAAGCTTGTCTGAAGATAAAAGTGGTTTTCCTGCGCATATGGGAAGAATGAAAGGTCACAACACAAGGTCTCACGTCCGGATACAAGCATCTGTGTCGTTAAGTCAAACGACATTAGACATAAATACCAACCCTTCTTGTTCTCTTGACATCTGTGTCGCGTTTAGAATGAAATCTGAATTGTCTTCAAGTGATCCCATGTTTCTGAGCATTCACTCTTGTCCGCCCATTGTGGTTGTTCCAAATTATCTAACCCTGCCTGCAGCCACCGAACGTTGGACAGAAACCGGGCGAAGAAATGCAGATAGCAGGTACGAGTTTCAACACACCTGTCGGTTGTCGGTCGTGGTTGATTCACATCACCCACTTGCCTGTCTAACACCGCAAGACCTTGGCATTCATCTGGTCTTAGCTTACTCTGTTACACGAACTGCTTCTGACTGCATCAGTAGTCAACAGGAATTTGAAGAGTGCTTCGTTAAACTCCCGTTAGATTTTGTACTTCATGGAAAGCCTTGTGAGAAGGCAGACGTCGCTGGTTTACATCAGCTGAAATTCACAATCTCGCAAGCAATATATCCATTGAACTGGGCGACGGTTTTACCTGCATTTCGCTTGAAAGAGTATACAGGTTCAAGCTTTTGTTTGTGGCTGCCCACGTTATCCAATACCGGAAGAAACGGCGCACTCAGATCTGGCGGGCGACGGCTGTACGTGACTCTCAACTGCTCAAAACGTCGACTGAAACTACAGTCGTCTTCAGAAGACATGCTATGGCCGGTTCTCAGTGAGATTTACTCAAGTTTAGCGAGTCTTTCGCGAAGTATGTCCAAGTTTGGTGAGAGACCGCTGTTGCTCGTAAACACAAGTCATCGTAAAAATGAAACTCAACAATCTTTTGCGTTTACGCCGGTTCTGCCGGAAAGCATGTTTCAGTTAACTTCTCTCTTTGACTGCCTCTTCAGAAAACTGCATCAACACTTGGATTCCAGAATCCAAATTGCTACAACAGCGGCTAGAAATACCATCCAGAGCCGTCACCTTCGAACGGTGCAGACTCACATTATGGGCAGAATCAAAGAAAGCATTCCAAAGAGGTTGAACGGGTTTGGATTGCTTCTGGAAGAAAGCATATGCAAGCTTATAGAAGGTTGTGACGAAGCTACAGTTGCATCCGAAAACCAAATGCTTCATGGCGCTTCGGTGGTCTCGTTGATTACACTCTTGGGCTTCCTCAGCGCCACCTGCATCGTCGGATCTAGAGTCAGTAACCGAATACTAGAGGCTTCCAGAATGCTTCGGCCTATCCATCTGCTAACTGCCGTCGAATCGACCGAACTTGTAGAGGTTTACAGAGGTTACGCAACCATACCCGAAGAAAGTCAACCGAATTGTAATGGGGATTCCCCAAAGGCACAGTTTACCGGTCTGGAAGAGTGCTTAAGCACAACCATATCCGAAATTTTGCTCAGAGTAGGAGATGAGAATGAGAGTTGGAAGGAAAGCGCATCAAAACAGTTAGCTCACTCTGTTATTCCGGATGTAAGTTGGATTATTGAAAACTTTCTAACTTTGTGCTGCAAGCTTGCAGGATGCGGTTCTGTGAGACTTCAAGGACCACAGAAATTACCGGAAGCAGAAGCAAGTCCAGAAAGTGATAAAGATGATCAGGTAACAGAATCGTGACCTTCCTTTACCTCAGGTTTCGAGCTATTTTTTGTTGATTCCTACATTGTACGCGTATTTGAACCATTTTATAAATTATAATTTATTGAGAAGAAATGTTGGTTTGAGTTACACCCGAAGTCATTGCATATGTTCGTGGAATATGAATCACATTTCAATCTGTCATTGTAAATCAGGTGATATTCTAAACAGAGCTCCTCCCGGAAAAAGTCGCGATTCATCCATAGGCTCGCTGCATTTAAAGCCCTCTACTTTTCGCCGAGATGTTAAAGTCTTTGAAAGCTGTGGTCCGTTCTGTAAATTGGTACCGAATAACAAAGTTGCAGCCAAACCGAACAGCTAGTGGAAAAAATGATGCGATGGGGTGGAGACTAATCAACCTTTATCCCTGAGATGTTGCCTTGAGTTCCTGGTGGTCCATCCGACACGCGTCACTGGCAAATTCCATCCAGTTATCTCTAGCTATTTGCAGAATTTATCAACCGTTTATGATAACAGTTCGTGAAACTTCTGATCCGATTTGCTTCGTAGCTGTTCCCTATTTAGGTCCCTTTTAGCTACATAGTGCATCCGTCCCTGTGACAATTTGTTCACACTTGGCAAAATGAACTCCCTAAAAGTTACACTGGTGCCATAGACAAACTCAACTGAATCCTTGGTTTGTGGTATTCTTCATCTGAATGCGCTGCACAAAGGCAGCCACGTTTCAGGTGCCAGCATTTCCGAGGTATGGAAGTAAATTTGCCTGACATGACAGACTGCTCAAAAACATTGTGGGTAGCGTGGTATATCAAGTGTATTGGAACACTGGAAGCTCTGATGCTTTCTGCAGCGCAAGAAGTAAACACCAACTACCCACATTAACCTGCTACTTCAACAGGTCTCAAATTTTTAGCGTTCGAATTACTATGTGACTTTGTTCAGAAAAGCGCAGTGTTATCGTGTAACCACATGCACCTCTGTTGGGGAACCTGAGTGGACTCTGCTCTGTGTGCTCTCAACATATCAGTTACTAGTCGGAAGTGCGAATCTCTGGTCAATTAATAAGTAATTACCTTGTGACAGACAAAACGGAGGTCAAAGTGATCCTTGTAAATTGACTGAAATACTTTAAGGCTGGTCCGTAACTCACTGGGCTTCTCGAGTCGTCCCAAGTCCGACCAATACTCAGTTATCAAAAGTGAATAAACGGCAATGGTTGTCTTCCGTGCAGACGAAATTTCGGCTTCTGTCTAGTGCCTCCCAAAGTAGATCGGAAGCCAAAAATAACGGTAAAAGTTTATGATGATGGTCAGCAGCACACAGCAGCCAGGCACTGGAATCCTGGCACTGAAATAGCTCGAACAAAGTCGTGCGGTTAGAATTTTGTTATATTTATCAACATTTTTACATATTTGGTTGTCAAGGTGTCTCATTTCAAACACAACATTCAAATCAGCAAATTCCAGCACCGTGCGTCGTGTTCCAGTATACTTCAGCTGAAGTTGATGGGAGCCAGTTGCTTGTTGGATGGTGACTTCGGTTGTAAATGCTTCAGTATCAAGAAGCAGCTTCATCTTTTCAGTACTGAGGATATAACTTTGGTTGGCGATTAGGTGCAAGCGTTATGTAACCACGATGGGGTGTCTCACAGCGAGTAGAGGACCGTAAATCCAATCGAACAGCAAGTGTGTTTCTTTGATTGAGCGTTTCTACTACCCATGCAGCCGGTAAAGACTAAAATCTCAGCTCGAAACCTTGTAACCTTTTGAAACGAGCACAAATTATGATCACCGCTACAAACAACAACGCCAGGGTGAGGACATTGGGGTATGGAGCCATTTACTGGACACTGGAAGGAAATAGGAGGGAGATACCCGCAGTACTACATAGACTATAAGTACTCAACCGAAGGATCTGGATAGAAACCAGCTAAGAGAAAGCCAATAGCAATGCTTAGCGGGTATAAATTGTGGTGTCTCCTGCCAAACACAACAGGCTTAAAGTAGACCAGGTCCTGAATGGTGGCAGCTTCAAGAATTTCGGTACCTTTTCAATCCCACCGGCAAACTCGCACTTGGCTTTCCACTTGGATTGAACTGCTCGGAGGCCGATAAGTATGGCACGTGACTGGATCATCGCAGTATATAGTGCCTGATTCACCGATCATTATTTCATGACAACATCTGCAAATGCAATGTCATCTTATCTGCTTTAACAAGCATACTAGTTGCATCTGACAAGTTCTACAGTGATGTTTTATGACAACAATCCACTTCAGTTAAAATTTTTAGTTTGAGGGTTCGCCTTTTAGCTTGCAGTAAATGGAATCCCAGGCCGTTTAAGAATTCTTTAGGCGACAAACTAAACAGTACAGTCAGTTATAACAAGAATTACCTCTTCCATGCCTTCTTACTGACTTCATCAAAATTAACTTATCTACATGACTTTATTGGCCTTTATGCACAGTAACACTTTAGGAGCACCTGACAGCATCAAACTGGCAGATTGTGCGAAGCAAAAAGTAGTTGGCTGTTGTGGTAAAAAAAAAAGAAAAATTCATGCGCACAACCTTCTTCACCTGGAAGAAATAGAATGTTGTTGATCTGTCATGTTTCGTAACCGACTAGTGAGACTACGAAGTAGCTGTATTGAAATAATCGGCGGCTTCGTGGATGACCCGCTGATGAATTATTACTTATTGGCTCCATGGGCGCTGGATATGCAGTTTGACAACAGATATCTTGGTAGACTATGAACGCAGGTCATGCCTATGTGTGTTGATATTGCGCAGTTCATTGATATGTCCTCAAGTCTTGGGACCTGCTACGTTCAATGGACTTGCACAACCGATATTGCGATGAAGTTAGGAGATTATGGTCAGAGTGAAGACCGTTCAGGTTAGTATGGTTCACTCAGTACCGAATTCAGACGCACCGAAAACAAAGAGCAATTTAAAGGGTTTTGAGCTCATTGACTGGATAACGGAAGAACTGGGTTGAAAACGGGTGCCTTTCATGAATCGCATGCAATCAAATTTCAATTAGATCTTGTGGTTGGCAAAACCCAGCGTACAGTGATGTTCAAAACTCCAGTTCACAAACTGGGGGATTTTGTTCATTTACAGAATAGTTTTACTTTTTTGAACTCCGGCACAACCAGCATATCAAAAAAATCACATTTTTCAGTGACAGACTGTTTACTCAAAATAACAGGGATAAAATAACATGCGCCTGAATGTCCCCTCTGTGAGCGGTAAGTTTAGGGTCCAAAATAACGTTATTATTGTGCCAGAACAGTGCTTCTATCAGTTAATTGCACATAAATGAATCATGGGTGTGTAAACGAACCTTAAGTTTTCATGAATCTACAAGTTGACTTTGGACAGAAAGATTTAGCCGTATTCCTGTACCCACCCAAGATACTCTGGCGTTATGTAAATGACACACTCGTCATGATGAAACGAGAACACATCAGTGAGTTTTACACCTATCTGAATAAACTGAATCCACACATCGCATTCAGTATGGAGACAAAGTCAACTTCGAGTACACTGGCCTTCTTGGACTGCATAGCACATAAAGTCGGGGAAAAATAATGAACACAGTGTGCGAGAAACCAAATGATACTGGGGCACTTTTGAACTACTCATCTGTTTATCCGAATTCGGTATTCGCTAGTATGGCCTGATCAATGTTTAGGCCTGTAAGGACCCAAATTTAAGTAAAGAACCAACTTCGGGGTAGTGGATATGCAGCTAGCTTGATTAGGCGTCAATTGCGAAGAGTGTTGTACCGGTAGCGAAACCAAACATGGAACGGATCGGGACCATATAAACCAGGGACATCGGAGGTCATTCGAAGAATGCCAAACACAGCAAACCTAAGATTAGCTTTCCAGAGGGGAGAACACTCTTCGGTCTGCACTGATGCAATTGAAGGACTGCCTCCCGGTAAACAGAACCAGGGACTGTCTACAAAATTAAGTGAAACGACTGCAGTAAGGTCCATGTAGGACAAACGGCCAGGTAACTTCACACCAGAATCGGAGAGCACAGGAGAAAAATAAACAGGCCACAGAGGAACGCAGTGAATATCGAGTGTCACTGAAAGACTTGACAAAGGAGGAACATGCACTTGAAACGGGGCGAAAAATAGATTCGGAAAATTTTAAGGTTTTGAGACAAGGACTACGGTTCACACCACAGAGGCTGCTGCCTGAGGGATAGAGTTTCCAAAGCATCCCAATGTAAATAGGATAAAAGGCGTAGAACTGACAAGCTTGTGGAGAACGGTCTTGGGTCAGCCGAGGTAACACGTGTTGTTGTGCGGTTATCAGAATGAGGAGGCATCAACACAATCGGCTTAGATCTGAATTGCACCTAATCTCACCGAACCCCTACCCAACCAAGATACCGTAACACACAAGATTACCCAGAGCAACAAAATCTACCAGCGACATCCAAGGTGAATCATTAACTGAAGCACCTTGAAGTGGAAGACTAAAGAGTTAAACTGGGCCAAAAATCACTTGAAACCCTTCAACTCATCAACACAAGATTTACACAACCACACTAACTAAAAAGACTCTTTAATCGAGATTCAACACTGATCCAGTGAGCTAATCCGAAGAGGTCTTCTGAATCGTTCTCCTGTTTTAAAACCAAAATGGTTATCTATTCATTTGGCCAGATGGAGCTATTGTGTAAAAAGCGAGAAGTTGCCCAGTTAAGAACGACTGATTGTTTATCGAACCCTTCTGAAACGATGATACCTCACTAGCACTGGTGACCAATAAACTACGACCAAAGGTTTCGCTCATAGCTTGATTCAAACCAATTCCGACCGAGGACCAAACATCAGTAGATTCACGAGAGCTTAGCCTTGACGAAACTACTTTCCTACATAATATATCTGCTTGTTTCATTTCATTGCCAGCGGTCCTCGCAAACTTTTCATTAAGCTCTACTTGAGCTGAACGCAAAATGCCAGATACTCTCTGACAGTGGTGGCTTCACCACTCTTCCGAAGAAGAGAGGCAATTGTCAGATCTCTTATACCACTTGTGGCAGTTATCCGGAGTGCACTAAACCACAACGTTCTCTTATCATTGTGT